AGCAGATTTTTAGGTTTTTCCCATATGTGCTTCAGTGTTACTCAAAATGCTGACTGTAGGAAATAACACTGTATCCTGTTGGGGTATGAGAGGACCCACCAAAAGCATCCTCCTTTCCTTCTGAATTCTGAACTGAGAAGTCAAGAGCATAAAGCGTATATAATTGCCAAAATGTCTTTATTAATAATAAAATGGATATTGGGGAATAGGGCTTACATCTCTGTGGAAAATGGGCTTTCTGAGAGTGAACCCTAGAATGTAAGGGGTATTCAGGATGCTTGCAGTGAAAAATGCCTCAGCTTCCCAAAGTGTAAGAAACCCCCTCGACTGGCATGTAGGCGACGATACAGTTTGGATTAAGTGTCTCGGGCCAGCTCTAAACAGCGCTCTGTACTGGCTGCCGAAGCATCTGTCCAGCTTGGCGTCTGGTGAAGGTTGACTTCCTGGGACGTTCCTGTTAGAGTATCGCCAGCAGCTCTGCCCCTCTGCCAGCTTCCCCCGCCGCGGGCGCGGCCTCGAGCGTTAAGCCCGGTGCAAGGCCGAGAGCAATGGTGCTGAATGAAGGCAGGACAGTCCCGGAGAGGCACAGAGCGACCGGCCAGTTCCTCCCCCGGCTCCTCCGGCAGGGAGCCGTCCCCGAGGAGCACAACACGGCAGAGGGCGCCGGCGGGCGATGCCTGCCCCACGGAGCGGGGGCGTCTGCGGTGGGGGGAAGCTCCCCCCTCGGCCGCCCCATGTATTCATAGTCAGGAACCACTCGTAATTCTTTTGATTATTCAAGACATAATTAAAAAGTGGTGGTATTCATTAGAAGAGCGAGAAGAAGACTTTCAGTTTTTCACATAACCTAGAAGTAAAATTTATAATTAAATAAAATTTATAAATACCTAAGAGGTAGAAATAGGATCAGACTGAGGGAGCAGGGGCAGGTTGATGTGTCATCCACCTTAAGCTGATAGTCTTCCAAGCAACCCTCAGTGTTTGTGTAAGGGCCTAAGAGCTGCACCAGGAAGCGTTGCTGGGGGCAGCCCGGCCTTTTCCATACTCTGTCCCTTAACTAGCATTGTCCTTTTAGCAAAGCAGAAACCCCAAAGAAAAGGGGGTAGCTACTTCAGAGTATCAAAAGTCATGATGACTGTAAGAGGTAGTAATTAAATTGCCATCGCCCCCGCCCCTCCCAGCATCTTGAAACATAGGTTTTGATTTTTTGACTATTTAAACATTTTTTTTTCCTGGCAGAAAAATGTGAGTGTGTGTGGAGGGTGGTGGTTGGGGGCAGGGAAAGTGGTGGCAGGGAGTGAAATCTGTGCCTCTCGGTGGTGTAGTGCTGTTTACTTTCTGTGGGTGCTTCAGTGCTGTTAATCTAAACTAAGGTGGAGATTGGCAGGGCATAAACTGTTAGTAATGTCACAGGTAAAGAGATGAAAAATGAACTTAGGAAAAAAGCAAGAAGGAGGTTTCCACTTACATCTGGACAGAGCTTCAATAAACAAGATGCCTTGGATTCTTTCATGGGAGCATTTTGTGTGTGTGTGTGTGTGTGTGTGTGTGTGTGTGTGTGTGTGTGTGTGTGTGTAAAAAGGAAGCTGTTTCACAATGACAAAGCCAGAGATTTTCTTTGGGTTTATTAAGAAGCAGTATAATTTCAACAAAGCAGAGAAAGCAAGGAAAACAAGCTACCTTTCTTGCTCCGTCTTACTTTTGGAAAGTCCAATACAATCTTGGCAGTTAGCTTAAAAAGATGAGAAACCACCTGTATAATGTGTGTGTGTGTGTGTGTGTGTGTGTGTGTGTGATTTTCTGAGCTAAACCAAAGGTTATCAATTTTAGTTTATCTAGGTTCTTTAAAAGAAATCCCTTGGAGAACTTGTTGGAAGCTAAGGACCTTCTCAAATAATGCACATGTTCACACATGTTCACTTTCTGCATACAAGTTTACCTGGTTCTTGCGACTCTTCCTAAAATTCATTTGCTCTCTGTTAAACTCCCGGTTTCTACAGTTAATAGACAGACATCTAATCTAACTTACGCTTTAAAATATGTAAGAACAGAGATCTGCCTTTTTGTGTGATAGGCTGTCCAACAACAGAATAGGCAAAGGGCTGTAAGAAATTCCCTGGGTTTGGTGGCTGTTGGCTGTTCAGAGTTGGAGTCCACACTTGGTTCATAATGCATTTGTCATCAAGCTCTGATTCAAATCTTTTTTCCACAGACTGCTGTTAAGTAAGTGCGGGAGCACTGCTCCTCTCTTCAACACCCAAACGCATTTATACAGTTGTAGCTTTGTGCTATCTCCCTCCTATATTTTAACATTTTATAAATATGAATTGCCAGTTTTTAAAGACTCAAATCTATTACTGGAAATGAAATGTAAATCATGTGACAAGGTAACATCTGTGAATTCAGAGGTGAGAGTTTAATATGAGGTTGGGTGAAGGTTGATGATGTGTTTGTTGTGGGGATCAGGTTGCAGAAAGTCATGAAACACCTTGCTAAGGAGCCTGGGCCCACATGAGCTACTGAAACTTAGAGTATGTCTGGTAAAAAGTGATCAAAGTTGTATACATTTTCATGGGGGAGTCAGACATCGAATAAATAATTACAAATGTCAGTGCTGCAATGGAAGGTAGAGCTTACGGCGGTGGTGCCAAGGGTGGCTTCATCAACATAGAAGTTAAATTAAAAAGATACTTGTCAAGCATATGTAGCTTCAAGAAGTTTCCTAAGCACTCCCTTGTTCCCTTCCTCAACCTCAAAAAATCACCATCATAGGGTCCTGTCTGTAGGGGAATTCTGGAGCTTCTGTTGGTATAGGGCTGAGACCACATGAATGGAAGGGACATTCTGGTAAGTGGGAGCTTAGGGAAAGCTTCCCAGAGGAAATGTGCTGAAACAGGAATGGGCATTGACTAAGGCAAAGTTTGAAGGAAGGTAGGCAGAAACAATACAGGCTGAGAAATCCCTGAAGCGGTCAAGAATCCCAGAACAGAGAATCCAACAGGACAGGAGTGGTAGGGAGCAGAGGGGTGTGTGAGATGGTAGAGTGCCCTAACAGGCCGTTTGGAGAATACTGGATTTTCTTCGAAGGGAAATGGGAAATGGCTGTGAAGCGTGATTAAATTATGGATGAGCTCACAAAAAATTAGGAACACGAGCAAATGAATCATAAAAGCAGACAAAACAAATATCAAGTTTAGACACCTAATGTGAGAAAACACCAACACTCTGAAATAAGTGCTTATGATTGTTAAAAATAGCGAAACATAAGTGACAGATTAAATAGCGTATGTATGATACAGCCAAGGATAGAAGGAGTGGCCTGGAATATAGAACTGATGATATGAAACAAAGAACACAGGTAAAGACACAGGAGAAAGGAGTTAAGAAACAGAGGCTAGGCTGTAAAACAATGTGAAATCCATTAAGGCAGAATATTTATTTTGTTCACTGAGGTGTCTCAAATGCCTAGAACAGTGCCTAGTGCTGAATGTAATTAAGTCAGAGTCCACCGATCACTAGAAGTTGTATAAGGAGAGAATGGGGAAAAGGCAATGTTCAACAAACTAAGACTTCCTTTGCAATCAATAAAAGGCATGAATATTTATAATCAGTGAATTCCAAGCAGAATAAATTATTGGCTTTCAATTCTGCCTGTGAAGGTGTAACTACTATGGGACTTGTTCACCTACTATAAGTGAACATAAAATTGGACTTGGTATATTAATAAGCTGTTTTCAGAAATTGCCCACCCCGTGTATAGAGAGAACCAATGGAGTTTCCAGAGTGAGAAGGTCACTGGAAGGCATCAAGAAACGGTTTGGCGTAGCAGAAGAAAACCAGTAAACTTGAAGATACGGCAGCAGAAGCTACGCAAAAAGAAGAGGGGATCAAGACAAGGTCAGAGTGAAATCAGAAAATATCTTTAAATGAACGTGAAAACACAACATACCAACGTTGGCGGGGCACAGCAAATACAGTGCTCTAGGGGAAATTTATCGCCTTAAAATAAGGGGGTCCTAATTCAGCCCACCTTAAGGCAGAAGGAAGAATGTGAAGGACTACAAATCACTGACACAGGAGATGAGTGAACAAAAGATAAACCGGTGAGGTGCCCAGTTCTTTACAACACAGAACTGCTCGCTAGTGATCAGAAGAGAGCACAGGTGAGCGTCGGGAAGGAAAGAGGACATGACTAGAGCTCTTACATGCAAGGTGCCGGAAGGACAAGGGGCTGCTTTAAAGAGCAGCATGCCAGCTCACTTGGTCGCTTAGATGGAATGTGAAGTGAATACCCGTGAGACACAAATTAGCAAAGCTGACTCAAGGAGTATAGAACCTAAACTTTCCCGTATCAATTAAAGAAACTAAGTTCATAACGAAAAATTTTTTTTTCAAACAAAACTCAAGGCACAGATAACTTCACTAGTCTGTTGAACATGTAAGGAAAAAGGAATATCCTACGCAAACTCAGAAAAGAGGTATTTTTCAGAAAATATTTTATGGGGCTCGTACTATTACCCTGAACCTAAAGCCAGAAAAGAAATATTATAAGAAAATTATAAACCAATAATCAAGGAAAGATAGCTATAACCCATGTAAATAAAAAGAAGTAACAGTACTAGAAAAAGATGTTTTAATAGGAAAGTAGGCAAAACAAGCAATTTATATAAAGAATTAGAAAGACCAATAAACACGTTAATTCTCGCAAGTAATTAAGTCAATAAAATCTTTTAAGTAATTAAAAGAGAAACCATTTCACACTCATTGGCTTGGCTAATTTTTTAATGTTCAGTAACACCAAGTGGTGGTGGTGGGGAAGCTGGAAACTTAAACTGCTATTAGGAGAGTGACACCCACTCCTTGTGTCAGGGGAGTGGGTACAACTACTTTGGAAAGCAGAGCCACACCTAGGTATCAACTCCTTGGAAACCTACATGTGTACAAGGATGTGGAATATTCACTGCAGCAATAATTTGTAGTAATGAAAAAGTGGAAGCAAATTATCTCTCAAAGGAAGTTTCTGGATTTATTTATGTAACAAAATACTATACAACAATGAAAATAATCTACATTTGCCAACATGGATAAATTTTCAAAAACAATGTTGAGTTACAAGTCATTACAGAAAGATATATACAATGTAACATTCATGTAAAATGTTAAAACACAAAAAACAATTCTTTACAATCTATGGATAAACACTACAGTAAGAATACAGAAATATTAAAAGAACAAAAACAAATTTAGAGTAATGATTTTGGAGATGAAGGGAAGGATCAAAGCTAGATCACAAAATGTCAACAGAGGATCCAAGTAAAGGCAGTGAATGTCTGGAGCAGGAGCTGGCAAACTTTCTTGGTAGAAGGGCTAGAGAATAAATATTTTAGGCTGTAGGCCAAAAAGATGCAATCAAAGATTTTATGTAAGTACTTCGTAGGGGTTCAAATTTAGTGTTTTTTTAATCACCCAAATTGATTGCCAGGATCTGATTTTTTCCAACCATTTAAAAACATAAACATTTTTAACTTGCAGACCATATGAAAGCAAGTAGAGGACTGTATTTGGCCTAAAGGCTATAGTTTGCGCATTGCTGGCCCAGAGCAACATTGTCCAATAGAACTTCCTGTGGTGATGGAAATATTCTACATTTGCATTGTCCCCAATATGATAACCACTAGCCATGTGGCTATTGGGCATTTGAAATGTGGCTACTATGACTGAGAAATTTGAAGTTGGATGTAATCTTAAGTTAAAGTAGCCATTCAAGAGTTTTTATGAATTTATAGAACAGGTATAAGGGGAATGGTTGAACAAATAAAGTAGGGGGAAAAAAGATTGTGTTGGGAGAGTAGGACATATAAATCAGTGAGGACTGATATTTGAGAACAGGGACATCAATTTAAAAGTACAAAAAAGCATGTGGCTTTGGAGGTCAGGAATAAAAAAATTTTGGCTGATAAAAAGGATTTGGGGTGTGACTGATATAGAATGCAGAAAGGTATGGAGATATAGTCAAGAAAACTGGAGGTGAGGATTGAAGAGTCCTCCAATAAAATAGAATTTGTTGGTCATGGACCTGGAGATTCCACCATAAAAAGTTGAGAGAAGTGTTAGGTTGAGAGTATGGTGGGGGAGCTAAGAGTTTCATGGCAATGACTACAGAGAAAAGCAAAATGGGGAGAGAAGTGTCCAAGATGGATTAGAAGAGTGAAGGCTAGAAAGTACGATGACCATATACATACTCTGATATTTAAAGAACAGATGAAAAACACAAGCACTATAGTATACAAATTTTATTGCTCTTTAAAAATCGGTAATCTACAGTGCTTTAAAGTTTAAAGAGGTATATTACGAGCAGTGGCTTCAACTTTCAGAACTGAACTAATTCCCTCTCATTGGTTGATGAAAAATATGAAAAAATCCTTGGCATTCATAAATTTAATATTTGAGTTTTTGACTGAATAAATAACTATCCTGAAAGCCCATGAGATAATAATTTGTGATTTTGCTGAGCGATCACTTTGAACAATATACACCCAGAGCTTAGCTTGGGGTTCATAGTTGCTTACCTAGTCCCTTAGCCTAAGCCACCATCAATTTTCTAGTCATGCACATTTTATCTGAAAAATTAAATACAGCAATGGTATAAAGGAGACACAAATAATAGGGCATACCCTACTGTGAATGTCAAGAATTAATTCAAATATCATATAAGGAGTTTCAAAAGAACCTCAGCCTGTTTTCAAAAATCATTCTAGTATTCCCCACTAAAGGGAAAAGTAAAAGGGCCAGAAGGTTATAATTAAAACATCTTATTTGAATAATCATTAATTCCCAAAATGTTGGTATAATTTTGACTAAAATTACGGGTTTTAGGCAGTATAAGAAATCTAACTATAATAGTGCTTAAGCCCAGTTAATTATATTTAAAAGAAGAAATAAACCAAATCTTATTAAAGGTTTAAGAAAAAAGATCACATCTTAAGTATAGATTTTAAGAAATGTTCATGATCTAGAGTCCATTTAAGAGATTATTCTGTGGCAGTAGTTCAACCCACTTGTGTGCTATTTTATAGATTCTCTCTTGGAGCAATAGGAGGGGATGTGGGGTGAATATAAACTGTATCCAATAAATGCTTCATTGTATTTGCTTCATACTTTTTTTTTTTTTAGAACTGCGTCTGGAATCCTTTTTTTGCTTGAAAACAGGTGAATTCAAGAAACACAAATCTGTAAAAGGGTCTCCTCTTCTTAGTTTCCTATAAAGGTAAAAAGAGCTCTTTATTGCCCCAATACTAACTTACTCCTCAGGATAAAGTTATTATAAAATATGCCAGTGTTAGTATTCCCACTTAGGTTTATCAAAATTTTGTATTTCAAATAAGACTCACCCTTGAACAAAGCTCCATAACCCCTCCAAATGTATCATTAAAAGTGAGTTCCCACACATTAAATACTTACGAAGCGAGGGTGGGCTCCTTGTAGTTCACACTGACTGTGCACCTACGCTTAGGCAGGGACACTGCCGGGCTTTCTCTATTCTTTGGAGAAAGAGAAAGTTTTCTCAGTTTCACTTCAGCATACAAGGGGACATTGGTGATATCCTTCAGGCTAACATAAGGTGACTGGTGAGTTTCAGGTACTGCACCTACAAAAACAACTTTTACTGAATATGGGTCCAAAAAAACCCCAAAACACAAACCCCCCCCACAGGAAATAAAATTGTATGCAATTACACATCCTAAATGTATACAAAATGCAGCATTTCATAATACAGATTTTTTAGCCTGTTCATCAGCTTTTCATCCCAGATGACATTGAAATATTAAGTAGTGTAGATGTGAAGAACTGATACAATAGTTTACTAAAAGTTAAAATTCTTGAAAATTAACCCTAGCTGGTTTCGCTCAGTGGTTAGTGTTGGCCCACGAACTGTACGGTCATGGGTTCGATCCTGGCCAAGGTCATGTACCTTGGTTGCAGGCTTGATCCCTGGCCCCAGTTGGGGCGCGTGTGGGAGGCAACCAATTGATGTGTCTCCCTCACATCAATGTCTTTCTCTCCCCCCCTTCCACTCTCTGAAAAAGCAATTGGAACAATATCTTCAGTCAAGGATTAAAAAAAAAAAATCTTGAAAATAAAAAAATTAAATTCTTCTAGAGTGCCTTGGGCATAATGAATTAGTTTAAACTGCAATTTCATTTTAGTCACACCTTGCTCTTTAGAATCAAGGCCTCTATCTCTTTCAACGCCAAAGCTTATCATCACGTGGATTCCTATAGTTTTATAAAGCCACTTAAACTCATTCTACTTATTAAATGAGAACTCTAATAAATCATAGCCTCTGTGTAAACCAGGAGAAACAGGGTTTCCTCTAGTAAAGCTAGTAGGTTAAAGAGTTACCCAAAGTTTTTCCTATCATAAAAGTATCCAAATTTTTCTACTTTGGAACTACATCTATATTGGGACACAGATACCCAGCTAGAAATTAAGGACATGGCAAGATGAACAATCTCTTCAGATAGCTTTAAAGAGCAAATCATTCCCCAAGAAAAATTACATTGTAACTGTAAAATGACTTTATATGTAGCAACCCTGTAATCCAGGGTAATCTGGGTTTCAAATACTCTTTTTTGTCCGCACATAAGGATATTGTACTATACTAATTATTCTATTTTTCAGTTTGGAAAATACAGTCAAGCAGTAACATCAGATCAGTTGTTATATTCTGGAAAGCTTAATGTATACACAAATCCCCCAGGGAACTTGTTAAAAAGATGCAGATTCTGATTTAAGAGTACAGGTTACAACCTGAGATTCTGCAATTTTAAGAAATTTCCAAGTAATGCTGATACTGAAGATCCAGGGACCGCACCCCAAGTAACACTATTTAGAATGTACTTTTTCCCTTTTAAAAACTTCTGGAAATTTCCAAATGTACACAAAGATGGAGACAACAGTATAATGAACCCAGTCACCCAGCTTCAGTAATTATCAACATCTTGCCAATCTTGATTTACTCTAACATCATTACAGGATATGTTTTAAAAAGATATTTGCATGCCATCACCTAACTGATTGGCCTTGGAAAGCCATTGAACTTTTTCAGCTTCTGTTTCCTTGTAAACAAAACAAGCATGATGATACCTTCACTACAGTTGTTCTTAGGATTAAATGAAATAGCATGACAAAAATGTGAGGATACAACCTGACTGGATGTGTTATTTTTACAAAACTAAAATTCCCAGATAAGAATCTTTGTGGGCAGATGCAGGCTAGATCCTCAGCCTTTAAATCATGCTGACTTTTGATCTCACTAAGCAAGATCTTCTAAGCCACAGTTTTTAGATGTCTTACAAATATCTTACAAGAGACGACTCAGCCCATCAACTGAGGAAAGAGTTTTTTGGTCTTATTAGGCCATGTTCTCTAACTGGAAAATTATTTAAAATCATGGTTCCTGTCAAGTCAAATATAAAGCAAAGCCATTAAAATGACAGGTCATTGGATTTAAGTTTGATCTCATTTTCAAGGGTTGTTTCAAGTGAGTGTATAAAAGATATTTTAATTCAACCTGAATCTACAAAAGAGTTTTTTCCTCTCCTTGGAATGCTTCATTTACTGAAAGTAAAAATGCTTCTTCCACAACAAGAAGTATTTGTTCTTTTAATTTTTAAAAATTTTTTATTGAATTTATTGGGGTGATATTGGTGAATAAATTTATATAGGTTTCAGGTGCACAACTCTGTAATACATCATCTGTATATTGTATTGTGTGCTCACCACCCAAAGGCAAGTCTCCTTTGATCACCATCTATCCCCCTTTGCCCTCTTCTCCCTCCCCCATATTTGTTCCTAAAGAGGGTCTAAATTAGCTTAAAGCAGTTCAGGGCAACACTACTGTGATTTCCACCCCCGGTCCCTCACTATTTAATCAGACTGTTACTTCTCCCAAAGAGACAGATGGCAAGTCTCTAACCTCCCCCAGAGAAACAGATGGTAAAGTATAGTATATAAGCATCAGGAGCGATCAATTATTATAAACATTAAAAATGCAGGAAAACAAGTAGATCACTTACTGGTAGGAGTTTCTGTTGGCTGAGAATTCTCCATTTCTTTTTCATCCCTACATCTTAGTATCCTTTTAGATCGAGGCCTGGTGACTGGGCTCGTATCTGACTGGCTGGCGAGACTTGGGCTGGGCTTGCAAGTGGGCAAATAGAGGTCATCAGAATCATCTTCTGAACTGCTTGACTCAGAGCTGCTCTCTTCCGATACACTGCTGTTTTCCTCTCTCTTAGAATCATTGTTCACTTTTTGTCGGAAAGGAGTAGGATGAACACCTTCTTCCAAATTAAAATTGTAAGCATCATTGGAAGTGATAAAATCATTCAACTTTTTTTGGGAAACAGGTTTTTTAGTTTTACTTTTGCTCCCTTTGTACTTAGATACAGATTTTGACTTTCTCCGGTTAGCTTTTCTTTTCTCTCCTTTTCTCCTTCCTTGTGCATCTGTATGCTTATTTTTAGTTTGCTCAGATTTATACTCTGAAATGTTTTCTTTTGTTTTAGATATTCCTGGGTGAATCAGCTTTGGTGATAAGTTAACTTGATCTTTGTTCCATTGACAAACATTTTGCTCTACATTTTCAGATATGTGCATGTTTACTAATGGCTCTACACATCTAACTGTTTCCAATCCAGAAGGCTGCTTTGACAGAGGACCGATTTCAAAATTATCCAAGGTGTTGAATTCGCATAGACTGTTAAAATGTCTCTTTAAATTGCGACGGAGAGATACAGTTCTAGGTAAGATATTATCAGTAGACTTATCTTCATCTGAATCCAAATCAAATCCCAGTCTGTCTTGAGGAATAGTAGGTATTTGCTCTGAGCATTTAAAAAATAAGTGAGAAAAACAGTTTTACTTTATGGAAATTTTAATTTCAGGAACCTTAGAATTCAAAGTTAAAAATGGAATAAATGAAAAGTCATTCTGCAGTTTCCCCACATGTACTATAAGTAAATAAAAATCTAGGGAACTTAATATTACCATCCATTTATTTGGCAACAATCAGTTGACAGCTTTTATCTCACCTGTGGAAGAATCTTACATAGCCTTCAAAAATATTCTAACTTGGAATTTTATGTGCCCCTCATTTAAAGAATACTTAGTAGTTTCCATGTATCTATATGTGTATAGGATTGAGAGGAAAAGAACCTCATATTCCAAAGTAGGACAAATACACTAAGAAAGTGGGAGCTAAGTTGTTCTTTGAAAAATGAGAAAAACTGGGATAACTGGAAAGCCTTTCAGGTAGGAAATATAATCTGTATTTTAAAGAGAAGTGGGGAAATTTGGAGCTAATTATTCAAATGCTTTCCCTTCTTCAAAGCTTAGTTCAGTAGAGGATTGACATTTGAGAAAAGGGACACACTGATTTAAAAGTAGAAAGAAGGGCATGGCTTTGGAGATCAGCTTTGAGTGTAAACCTTAACTCTTACCATCTGAGTCTATATAAAACAGACTGAATGTACCTATATTGCAAGGTTGTTGTGAGGGTTAAGTAAGTGAGACAATATGTATAAAATGCCTAACACAGAGCTTAACATGCTGTCAGACTCAGTAAATTGCAGCCATAGTTACAGCCAAGGTTTCTAATTAAAGATGTGGCAAAATAAATGGATGTATTTTAAAATTCTTACTATTCTGTGTAAAATAAACAGACATGCTTTGAGCAGAAGAATACCAGGTAAGATTTAAAAACTTAAAAAGGAAAACTGGGGAAATTTAATTATGTTACTTATTCTCAGAGACCTCTTCTTGCCCTTAATCGTATTTTCAGATTTTTACTTGAATTACCTTCCATTTGGAATGATTCTCCTTGTTCTGGAGGATGAGCATCTTGAAGAGGAGCTTGCCTTAGAAAATACCATTGAAAAATAGAAATTTAACAATTATGTAATTAAAATAATTTAAGATTTTCTTAAAATTAAAATATTAAATTTTCCTTAGTATTATTTCATAATTCCATTCTATATCAGTACATGTGTTCTACATCAAAGGAAACCAAAAAACATTTATACTGATTACATGGAGGCTGATTTGTTACGACTGACATTCAATTCTTACTGGAATAACTAACGTATTGAATTGGATAGTTCCTCCTTAAAACATGCCATAACTCATGATTTCATTTAACCGGAGAAACAGCCAATCAGAATTGACTTATACAACTTTAATTAAAGAAATGTGGTTTCATTACTCAACTCTTTAGGAGCCTGCTTTATCATTAGCTGAGCTGTGATTTTTTTTGGTAGTACCAGCTTTTATGATGCTTAACTACTGACTGCTCTGAAGTTAACACTGTTCATTTTCTTTATAAGTCTTCTTCCTTTTTGGTGCATGAAAAAAGAAGTTTTCTTTATGGTCCAGTACTATTGCTGGCTATTTCACTTTAATTATAACTTTATTCTATATTGACTATAGAGAATTTTCACCTCTAGTCATCAAAATTTAAATACAGGTTTAGGCAACAGAGTTATGGTAACAAACTAATAACAATTTTAGAAATCTTACAGAGACTCAATTACCTTATCTTTTTGTCCATTACATATTTTGCCAGATGTTAAAGTTTAACAGTTTTAGGATTATTAAAATTAATATGGGGATAGAAATCACATTATGATTAACTCTGTGAGGACTGGGGCATAGACTCAAAAGGGATATGAGGAAATAGCTTATGGCAATAGTTCCTACTTGAGGACAATTATGCTTCCCTAAGGGATATTTGGCAATGTCTGTAGACATTTTTGGTTCTCATAACTAGGGAAGAGGGGTGCTACTGGGATTTAGTGAGTAGAGGCCAAGGATGCTGCTAAATACCCCACAATGCTTAGGACAGCTCTCTACAACAAAGAGTGGTCTGGTCCAAATGTCTATAGTATAAAGACTGAGAAACCCTAGGCTGGAGTGATGGCCATGCTCTCTATCTTGAGATTTTGGTTTGACTACACATTAGTCAAACTCATTGAACTGTATAATTATCATCTATGCATTTTACTGTATGTAATTATACCTCAATAATTCATAAGCAAACAAAGTACACCTGATCCAAGAGAAGGGAAAGAGGATATATGGGATCTGAGTGTACTTAGGGATAAATTGGTTCAGCAAGACAATGTGATAGTGGTGTTAAATATGTTTAATTACATTTCTTTTCTAAAACAGACTATCTGTAATACTAGCAAAATACTATCATTTGAATAAACTAAACCTATAAACCAAACCTTCTTAGAATAAAAACTTGGTATAAGAAAAATATAACTGAAGGTAATAACTTAAAAATTCTAGAAAAGCTGCTTATTTTTGTAGACATCAAAAAAGTAACTATAAGACAGATTTGATTTGGCTATATATAACAGAATTTTAACATATCAAATTTTCTTAAATATATTCTTGGTAGAGAGAACATCAGACTCAAAATATAAGAGTCTATGATGCAAATTTCCTTTCACAAATGGATCACAGAATTACATCCTTTTGATATTAATAAGCATAATATTGAATTTGATACTAACGGTAAATCCTTTACAAGTAAATCCCCGGAGTTGTTGTCACTATTGGAGTCCATTCCAGAGGAACTTACTTCATGGTTCTGTGAATGTATTAAAAGAAAGAAAACACTAGTAAAATAGAAATATTCATAACAAAGCATTCATTTATTCAAAAATAAACACTTATTGACAGTTTATCATGGTGCCAGGTACTGTTCTAGGAACTTCGTTTACAGTAGCTAAAAAAATTTTTTAGTTCTACCCTCTTAAAACTTACATTCTAGTGTAGGGAGAGAAAATTTTAAAAAGACAGATATAGAAATGATTTCAGATGGTGTTAAGTGCTATGAAGGAAATACTTGGTGAAGTGATAGAGTAACTGAAACAGAGGGCTCTTTTAGATAGGGTGACTTTCATCTGAAGAATGTAAAGGAGCAGCCAGTGAAAGAGCAGGGCGTAGAGAAAGGTGTGGAAACAGCAAATATAAAGGTCATGATGTAGGGAAAACCTTGCTGTGTTTGGAAAAGGGCATTGTAGCTGGGAAACAGTCACTAAGAAGAAAAGTAGATGTGCATGCAGAGGCCAGATAATGTAGGGCTCTCAGAGCCATGAGTTTGGATTTTAGTCTAAGTGTGAAGGGCAGGCACTTAAATATTAAGCAGGGAAGTAAAATGATCTAAGTTTTAAAAAGATCAGTCTGGCCACTGTGTGAAACATGGATTGAAATGGGCCAGGAAGATAGGAAGTCAACATACTAAATGAAACAAGACATATAGATAGGACTAGAATTCTGTGGCTATGGAGGTGAAGCCAGGTGGAAGGTTTTGAGTTGAACAAAAGGGTAAGTGTTTTATTGAGACGGGTAAGACTTACAGAAGGAGGTAGAAGCACACAATATCATTGGTGGAGTGGGAAATAAAAGAGTTTTGTACAAAATGTTTGAGATCCTTTATAAATATTTAAGTGGATATATCAAGTAGTTGTACTGTGTGTGTAGGTCTTGAGCTATAAATTTGGAAGTAGACAGGCAGTATTTAAAGCTATAGGAGTGGATAAGATGGGTCTAGGACAATTGACATTTAAAAGAAGCCAGCAAGAGGCTGACATGGAACAGTCAGAAAGGTAGAAAGAAAACTAGGAGCCTATGATGGTAAGAAAGCGAGATCAAAGTATTTCTAGCAAAGTGTAACTCCTGTGTTGTATATTACTTCAAGGTCAAGAAGAAAGAGAAGTGACCACTGAATTTGGCAACATGGAGGTTTTGGTCACCTTGACACATAGTGACAATAGAATGGCATGGATAAAGGCCAGATAAGAGTTTAAAAGTGAATGGAAGCATTTATTGGTTGTTTCTTATATGTGCCCTGACTGGGGATCGGACCTGCAACCTTGGTGTATTAGGATTACGCTCTAACCAACTGAACTACCCAGCCAGGGCAGAAATATGAAGACCAAATCAATGTTTCTTTCTCCCTCCCTCCCTCCCTCCCAAATAAATAAATAAATAAATATGGCTAAGATCACTTTGTTCTCTTTGGAAAAAGTTCTGCTGTGAACCAGAGCAGAGAAATAAGCAGATAGAGTTGAGACCAGGAGAGGTTTCAGTTATTTTCTTTACCTCTGAAGGTGAGAGATTCTAAGGCACATCTGTATGACAGCTAGAATGATTCAGCAGAGGGAGATACATATTGGTTGAGAATGAGTGACATACAACAAGCACATGGCAGAAAACAAACTGATGTTTTAAATGCTGAGAACACTTTTGCCCAGCCACTAACAATGTTTTAATATATAATCAGAAATCACTGACAGACGAGATGTCAAAAGGCCTGCAATAACAGATTTTGCCCCTAGGGTTTTTGTGATTATCTCATGGGGTACTTATTTTACACTATCCTCTGTGGGATTTTAGCAAAAACTGGGAAAAGGAAGATTCAGATGTCACTGGAAGAGTTTTCTTCTTCACTAGTTGACAGAAAAAGAAAAAAATTAGGAAAGATTAAATTCTGAAGGAAAAAATTATATTAAATAAGCTAACTCTCACATAAAGGTAAAGAAATCATATTTAATCTTTATAGAGAAAATTTGCTACTACACTGTACATGAATATAATACATATGTGTGGGTGTGTATATATAGGGTGTCCCAATAAATGTATACACACGCTTTGAATAATTATAAAGGCAGTGTTTATTAAAATACATTTCATTTTCAGAATTGAGCTATCAGCCATTAAGGGTGTATACATTTTTGGGACACCCTGTATGTGTACACACACACACATTTTATATACCACACATAGAAAAAAATACGGAATTGCTTTAGTTGCAGGGAAGCAAGAAGTCTTTCACTGACTCCTATCAGCAGAGAGATGACGCTAATTCCTTTCTCAGGTCCGTATCCCTACCCTAATCACTATCGTCTGGCTTTCTTCTCTGGTCTCCTGCTAACACAACCGGTTTCACTGGCACAGCAAACAAATGGCGACCAGAGAAGTGTTTGTTAACACCTGACACTCAACGCGGCTTTTCTCTTTCTCTGCCCCATGAGCTTCCCTGGCACTGGCTTCTAGGGAAAAGGAAGAAGAAACTGGTTCATCATTGCTCTACTCAGGATTAACGTGCAATGAGACACAAAAAATATTCTAAACCATGTCTGTTATATTTTGGCTGGATCTTCTATATAACCTTGGACACAAACAGTCAGATAAAAAAACGTGGACAGAAAAATACTCATGATATTTCTTGTTTGGGAATTAAAGTGTAATCTTATTTAGCCAACTAGTAGGTAAACATGATTCTCTAAAAGCACATAAATACTTCCCACCCCCAAATTAAGGTAGTTCTTATAAAACCCCACTGGATGCAGCAAAACTATATAGAAAAGCTAAGGTTTATAGTACCGATTAACAGTTATCAGTAAATTAATTTTAAAGAGCATAATTGATCTGAACTACTAATACACAGCTTTACTGTTTTTTTTTCTTCTAAGAAATTCAGCCTTCATAATGAAAATACCTGTGCAGGTTCTTCTGTTTGTTGTGAAGTAAATTTTTCTTTCAATGCATATAGCTGATACGTGAGGTAGTAACATTCTTTTCTCAGCTGCAGGATGATGTCTTGGGCTTCTCTCACTTTGGCCTTTTCATTTTCCAAAGCTAAAACTAACATTTTGTTGTTGTCTTGGTAGTTTCTTAGCAGTGTAGAAGTGTTGGCTAAAAGAGTATAATTTTTTTTATTAGTTATTAAATCTAAACTTAAAAAAGTGATGCAAAGGACAACATGAAATTCTTACTGATTATTTGGCAAGGTGCAACTATAAAAGACTTTCGTTTGCCAATTTCTGCCAAGCTTTTATTCCTTTTCTCTTTCATTCGTTTCTTTATGTCTTCAAGACTATCTTGAAAGGACTTTTTGAGGTTCCTTTCCTTTGCCATCTTCTGCCTAGGAATTTAAAACAATAAAAAATATTTCATTTTTCTAAAAGATATCAAATGTAAAACAAGCTTGAAAACACAGGCTGTTCATAAAGAATGATTAAATAGAGACTTAGTAATTGAAGAATTAGCTAAAAGTACATAGCTAACTCGATAATAAACTAGATACTGCAGATTTTATTTTTTAAAAAACATATCTTTATTGATTTCAGAGAGCAGGAAGGAGGGGGAGAGAGACAGAAACATCAATGATGAGAGTCATTGATCGGCTGCCTAGCCTGCAACCCAGGCATGTGCCCTGACCGGGAATCGAACCCTGATATCCTGGATCCTAGGTCGATGCTCAACCGCTGAGCCACGCCAGGCCGGGAGATTCTGCAGCTCTTAAATCTCATTAATATTTCTGACATATTATCCTCCTCAGGTACTTTATAGGGAAGGTTTAATAAATATGGACTTCCAACCCAAAGACTGTAATATGCCGCTTATTTTTTACTTAACAAATACTCATTGGGGGCTTACCATATAGGAAGCACTATGGAAAATGCTTAATATTATATTTTGATGCTATTGCTATTTATGTTTCCTACAGGCAATGCTTATGACCAACTTTTAGTGTTTATTAGGATTACAGCATTAGTTCAGAAGCAATCATACACGTGAGCTTTGTTTTCCAGTTTTTACATTGCTTATCAGATTAGGTAATTTGATTACTTCTCTCTCTCCCACACTCTTGTAACCCAATATTACTTTAGATAGGCACACACTCTCAATAAAGTCAAAGTGATCTTCAGAGGTTTAGTTAAACTATGCAGCACTATATACAATTTTAATAGGCTATTATAACAATGACAGAGCTAGAAGCAGCAGGAACTGGGGCACAGGAATGTGTCAATTTTCTCAGTTATTCTAAAACTCAGGCCTGCTAACTCCTAGTACCTGGTGAACACAGCAAATCAGACATTAAATAATGATTGTTTTACAATACAGTTAAAAGCAAAACAGGCATCGGTGGAATATGCTGTTGAGTATATTAATGCATAAGTATACTTAAATGTGGCGGATCAGACAGGCTTTGGTATTTTGCTGCTAAGCACGTTAAACTACTTTTCATGAACATCTTTTACCTTAGACTGCACTTTTGCAGATCTTAAAGTTGCAAAAAGTAATTGTTTCCTACAACAATCTATGTATACAATGTTCATTACAAGGCTACCCTCATCTCCTTTTCGTCAAATATATTCCTGAAACTTACATTTTCTTGAGGATTTTTCTCCAGGCCTTACTTATTTTCCTCTCTGCAGCGTCTGGAGTCTTAAATATAGATATTGTAGATCTCACTTAAATATTTCCTTTCTGCCAACAACAATAAAACACACGCGGGGAAGTTCCCAGCAAAGAAAGCACAACTATTTTTAAAACACGTTATGTGGGTTGTACAGAACAACGTGCCACAGTGTAGTTTTTGAAGTTCGAACTGGAGATGTTTGAGAGCCATACAGAGTAAGTAATCGATCAAGTTAGTTTAGTTAAGGTATTTTAAAAACCAAGTGTTATCTACCCCCCCCCCACCTGTTATTAAATTTAATCAACAAAATCTGGGGGTGTGGTGGAGAGAACCAATGAAAACAGGTCACCGCGCGGAAGACAGTCGCGAAGGGCGTCGGTCCCGGGATCTGGATTCAAGGGAACCTGAAATATTTGCTCAGCGTCACAGTCCCTCCGTCGTTCCCGCCGCGGGGCCCCCGCCAGGTAGGACTGGACGGGCGACTTCTCCGGGGTAATCGACTGAGCAAGGGCCGTGGGTGGCACAAAAAACAGCTGCCAGGTTGTGCGCCTTAGGTCGAGCCCGGCTTCTGACTACTGAACGTGCTTTTTTTGCACATCACTTAATTCACACAATTCTACAAGGCAGGAGGTTCGGGTCCCCATTTATTTCACAGAAGAGGAAACGGGGTCCTCGGGAAGCGAGGATCGGGTGGCGGGGCAAAGACACCCCGTTAGTGCGACCTCACAGCCTCAGTTTTTGGCCACCTAAACTCAGCACGACAGAGAGACCCGAGGGAAGAGGAAGAGGGGTCAGGACGCCTCTGATCCGCATCAGGAAACCCTGCGGCCTCCTCTTTCCCGCAAGGGCCGCGAGAAAGCCCGGCGGCGGGGGTGGGCGCGTCGCCGGAGAAGGGCCGCGAGACCCGCCTCCCCC